CCATTCCCCTCCAAGAGACCTCCTTAAATAGGCTTTCAAGGAGTCTAGAAGCTGCCACCTCTAGCCTCTCTTGAAACTTCTAGAATTTGCTGCCCCTTTCTCTTGAACTCTCTAGAAGTTGCTGCCCCTAACTCTTCTTGGGCTGCACTTTGGGTTGCACCTTGGTTAAAATTTGGGCTGCAATTTAGGCTGCTCTTGAGCTGAAACGGGCCTCCTCTTTGCTGGGCCGAATTGGCTTTCTTGCTAGGCTCTCTCTTTGGGTTCTCCCAAAGAGTGTAGCATGGGCTGCATGGGCCGAGTGAACCTCTCTTGTTCTCTCGGCTGGGCCATGGTTCTAGCTGGGCTAAATTACCTCAAATTTGGCTCTTTTCTTTTTGTTTTATGCCTTCTTTCTCCTGAGTTGGTTTCCCCTGAAATTAAACTGAAATGGGGTGAAACTCAAACAAAGCGTCATAAAAATCATGCATAAATCCTTATAAATTGTATGTAAATTATGTACTCATCAAATACCCCCACACTTAAGCTTTTGCTTGTCCTCAAGCAAAGACATTAGCCATAAACTGATCATCCCCCCTTTTATTCTCATCATTTACCGGATGAATTTTTAGGAGGGGAATGCATTGAGTGGGCTTGACCCCGATCAATTATTAAAATACCTGCCACAACCGGGGTGGGGCGGGATGGAGCCCCATGGGGATGGGTCAAATTGCCATCTCTAGTGGACATTAGTAGGTGCTGCCCCAGGCTGAAGTTCTATTCTGTGGACATGGGCTCTCTTGGGTGGGAGAGTTGCTGGTTCTAGGAAGACATCACTATACTGCTGTAACAACTAACAACTACTGGAGTTGGGCCAAATCTTCCTGTGTGATAGTACTGTTGGGCAGTGAGGACAGCATAGGCTTGAGTGTGAGCAAACCCAAATGCACCATGGTGTGGATACTCATGAATTGGCAGTACTTAAGGAAGGCCTTGGTAGACGCCCCCTAGGCCTGTTGGGGCTCAAGTCCTTGGCCCAATCACACAACACCAAGCCCATTTGAAGGAGCCACTGAACCCCCAAAATGATATCTTCCCCTGAAAAGTTAAATGGGTGCAAGTCTACACAAAAACACAAAAAGAGGTTCCCTGGATCTTCAGTCCAATAGTTTTACAAAGCCCACTACAGCTGAGTTGATTACAGTTGGCTGCATGGACTGAAAATGTGCTGATGGGATGCACTGCAAGGCCTAATTGTTTGGCTAGAGAATGGGTGGCAAAATTAAGTGAAATCCCATTGTCAATCAAAACAGAAACCTCTTGTCTTTTAAGTTCTTAGGTCTTTTGAAATATTTGTTGAGGATATAAGTGGAACAAGCCAAGGATGGGTTGTTTGCATCTAAACACAAGTATTTACTTGATTTGTGGAAACTGTGAAACTTGCCTCCAGACCTTCCAATACACCTAGATCCAACATAAAGTTGGATAATAGGAGTGGTGAAGTGATTTTAGACATGAGTAGATTCCAAAGGTTGGTTGGCAAGTTAATTTATTTCTCACTTACTAGGATATTGCAGAAGCAGTAGAAGAAAGCCAATTTGTATAATCCAGTATGATCTATTTAGTTAGATGCAGAAGTTGAATAACACAGAGGCTGAGAACTGATCAAAGAGAAGGACATAAGGTTACTTGCAAGGAGATCTGTGCACCATTTGTGAAGACAAAACATGCTAATATTCCCACAGAAATGTACGGAAATCTCAGTTAAATACTCTGAACAAATCATGTATCATGTCTATGCCCCAGCCTGAGGGTGAGTGTTGGAGATGACCAGATGTAATGACATTGTTATGAACATGTTGCTGTATGCTAATTGTACTGACCTTACAATGAATATAAGAAGGGACAGGTAGTAGGTTAATTCATTTCAATCACCCCAAAACCTTCTTCCTTCATCTCATACTACAAAATCTTTCACTGCTAGAACTTAGTTTTCTACTGGCCATTCCAATTCAAATAACACCGGTAGATTATGTACAAGTGAAGCACAGTCACGACCAAGGCAAGACTAACAGCATAAGTTGAAGCACTAGAAACAGCAATTCTAGTATAAGAAAATATCATTTAGTTAGAGAAGCTAAACAAACAATGAAAAGAACTTCCTCATATAGAAAGACCAAATAGTTACACCAACCAAGAAATATAAATGATTTTAAGGCCCTGCAAAGCAGGATTGCTATTCTTAGTAGAACATAACTAGAGATACATAAAAAAGACCTTGTGTGTATGCATCCTTTTGGAATACTATAGCAGATAAATCTGGGGTCTTGGGAGGGCTAGACTGGGCCTTTGGCATTTTTTTCCCATACAAAGTGGCTGCCCTCAGACTCGAACATGCTTTCTCATGGATGTCAGTCCGAGATTTTTTCATTACACAAAGTAATGGCCCCTAGATACACCTATGTACTTATCTCTCTTAAACTCACAAACAAGATGCAGAAAATGATATAAATTGTAAGAAGAAAGAAAAACAACTACCATGCTTCAGGTGTCTGGTACAAGGAAGCTGAACTGCCAAAGCAAGAAACAAGCATGTCAGTGTTCACCACACCAGGGCTAAGGGCAACAATTGCCATTCCATCAGGCAATTCTTTTGCAACAGATTTAGTCAAACCTTCAACTGCCCATTTTGAAGCACAATAAGGTGCAACCTGTTGAAATGTAATTAGGTTCCATTATCTAAATATTTTTCCTGCCAATAAAGTACATTTTGAAGACCAAGAAACCATTATCTGATAATAAACCCTCAGTACCTGTGCAGCTGCAGATCTTCCCCAACCTGATGACAAGTTGACTATAATTCCTTGTTTTCTTTCAAGCATAAGAGGCAGGAAGTGACGTAGCATGTTTGCTGTCCCCTTTATGTTAGTATCTACGACAGTATCGAACTCTTCTTCTGGAACTTCCCAGATCTTGTTGTTTTTATTAATGGTCCCTGCATTGTTTACTGACAACTAAATTTGCTTCAGTTCCACATACAAGTGGCACCTGGTTTTGAAATAAACAACAATTAATCTAAAGAGAACGAAATGGACTTATTAGCTCTGTATATAATTAAGTGATTATGGGATAAAATGCACACAAAGTTTTAATGTGACAACACAAGTTTTTTACTTGGGATTTAAGATATAAACATTCCGACTTTCTAACTTCCAGTGGGTTAATACTGGAAACAAAAAATATGGAAAACTTTATGTTTGGAGTAAGTTTCACACCAATTTGAGAGAAATTTACAACATGATCCACCAGTCATATCACTGGATTGTGTTTGTGTATGTATGTGATTAATGACAGACAACTTAGTTAGGATAAAGAAGAAAGATAGGTAGAATAACAAATCCCACTAAAACATTGGAAAGACAAGACCCCATACAAACAGGGACTTCCGGGATTTTGTGCTGATTAATTCAGTGGACTTTTCATCCATACAGTTTTTAAAGGGGCTGTAAATTCTATGAATTTGGGTGTGGTGGTCAAGGACAAGGTGGAAGTGGACCTTCAAGATGGGCTTATGTGGGGTTCACATGTCCATAGCATCCTGGAGGATAAGCAGATAGTGTTTTGTGGAGATAGAGAGGATGAGGGAGAAATGCTGTTCACTGTTTTTTTTTTTTTTTTTGGTGGTAGTGGGGCAGGGTAATTCACAAGTAGAAAGGGTTCTAGAAGGGGATTAAAACATACAGAGAGGGGAGAACTTCAGCAGCAATGAAGAATTTCCAAATATTATTCATCAAAAAACGAATTTACAAATATTTCTAATAGATATTGGACTTATTTGATTTGAAAGAATACATGATTTTATGAAGTTAAAGAATGCCTGCCACTAGGTCTGTTCTTAAACAAATGCAGGGCATACATTTGATGGGAGAAAACTTTACTGTTTGACAAAGATAAACCTAATAGATAAAGCTCAACCACAAAGATCCAAAATCATTTGTTTTCTGAACAAAAGTAGTAATAGATTAGCCTTTGTGACAATGATAAACATCAGATACAAGATAACCAAAAGAAAATTTGGACCTAAGCCAGCAACTAATGGTCGGGGTATCAAGACAAGAGGGAACCAAGGTCAAGAGGATGGCATGATTGAAAAAAGTAAATAGTGAATCCTGTCTGCTATGCATAAGAAACATAAAAGGAAAACTTTCATGTCCTTTCATGTCATTGGAGCCAGAGTATTTGATAAGTTTTTACTTTCATGTACACAGTGTACAACCAAACACCTTCCGTATTGAGCTTGTCTTACACTGATGAGAGGGTTGTCTCGGGTTGGCAGCCAACATTAAAATGTTTGTGAAATTCTCACAATCATAGATCCTGAGTTGACATTTCTGGCACTAGAAAATCAGTGGAACAGGATTCATTTAGCTCATTCCATATAGGGGTGGGGGGAAGAAGTTATTTACATCAAGAAACTACGGGGAAAGAAAGAGGATTATAATGGACGGACCAGGGTCAGGGGGACCAAACACGAGTTTCAGTCACAAAAGGATGTTACAAGACATCCTCTAGCAATTAATTCCGAGAGGCAGTTTCAGCATTCTTATGGTCTGGCAGCTTCCTTTGAAGACCAAGGTTCCAAGAAATGGCATGACACGAGAAACGGAAGAAGGATTTTGAAGTGAGAAGTGAGAAAAATCCAGACTAAAGCATATACCGAACCCAGCTACCCAAGGTTTCGGAATTGCATCAAAACAAAAGCAGAGACAAGCTTATGAAAATTAGAATACCTATGATGTCTGGTACTCCCTTCCTTTCCATCACAATCCGCGCCAACTCTTCCACGCTGTTATCTGATTTCTGCAGGATTTGACCATTACACCAGAACACACTCATTACAAAATTTCAGAGAGAGAGAGAGAGAGAGAGAGCTAAGCATGTCCATTGCATGAGTAAAAACAGAAAAAAGGAACTAAATAACTGAAAAGGGGTAAGGAAAATGCACAAACCACATCAACTTTCATAAGAAGGTGCTCGAAGGAGGAAGAAGATGAACTGTTATCTGACGATGAGAGCTCAGCTTGAAGTGAGTTGAGTTTGTCTTGTGTCCGTGCGCATCCTATTATTATGTGACCCCTCTTCGCCATCTCCAAGGCCAATGCTCTTCCCAAGCCTCTACTCACTCCCGTTATCAGTATCTTTCGAGGCCCCGCCTTTACCACTGAAACTGCCGCCATTCCTCTCTTTCGTTTCCGTTTTTTCCCCTTCCCTTATCAGTATCGTCGTGGTCGCTCTCGCCTTATATAGGGACACGCGTATGGCGAATGCTACGCGAGGCCGAGTAATCTGAGGCGGTGAGACTCCGAGCCTGAGCGGCTTCTTTCTGGGCTGACTCGGTTCACTTAACCGGGCTTATAGCAACCATCCTTGTGAGCTTTCTTTAAAGCCCCTCTTGGGCTTGTCCGCATTTCTCCGCTGAAAGGTCCCCGGATGTCAGCATTGACAAGATGGAGACGTCGATTGCGATTGACCCGGATCACCTCTCGCGGCCTCTGTATCTTCAAGTTGACCGTCGAGAACCCAGGCATGTCGGAAGCCGAAATGGCCCGGAAACTGCGTACCCTATGTACCCAGGGTCATTTTCGAGACGCTCTATCGCTATTCTACTCCCTGAACACACCGCATTCTCAAGTCTACGCTATCCTTTTCCATGCCTGCTCGCGACTCGGCTATCTTGACGAGGGCCGACGCCTCCATCAGCACATGCTTGATCATAACCATGAAGCCGGTCTTTACGTTTCCAATCATCTCATTAACATGTACGCGAAGTGTGGTTGTCTAGACTTGGCCCGTAAATTGTTTGACAAAATGCCTGAGAGAAATATTGTTTCTTGGACTGCTCTTATTACTGGGTATGACCAACATGGCCGACCTGACGATTGCTTCTGTCTCTTCTCGTCCCTGATCGCCCATCATCGCCCCACTGAATTCGCCTATGCAAGTGTCCTTAGCTCCTGCAATCGCATTCGAGGCCAACAGGTACATGCTCTCGCATTGAAAACATCTTTTGATGCTTATGTTTATGTAGCAAATGCTCTCATTACAATGTACTCCAGGAGCGGCTGCTGCGATCAGAATTATGATGGTAATGATGCTTGGTTCATCTTCCAAGCCATGTCCTTTCGTAATCTCATTAGTTGGAATTCGATGATCGCAGGGTTCCACCTCTGTGGTCGTGGGACTAAATCTCTCGAACTCTTCTCTCGGATGCACTTTGAGGGCATCGGATTTGATCGTGCAACGCTTGTCACTGTCCTGGCATCCATGTGTTCCTGTTATGATGCTGACTTTGATCTTCTTATGCATTGTTATCGACTCCATTGTCTTGCTACCAAGACGGGGTTTGCCTTGAAGGTTGAGGTTGCTACTGCACTAGTTAAGGCCTATTCCATGCTTGGAGGGGATGCCACTGATTGTCGCAAGCTTTTCTTGGAGATACGTGGCCATCGAGACGTCGTATCTTGGACTGGGATTATAACAACATGTGCAGAGAAGGACCCAGAAGAAGCATTCCTCCTTTTCTGCCAGATGCGCTGGGAAGGTGTGGATCCAGACCGTTATACCTTTTCAATTGTCATCAAAACATGTGCAAGCCTCGCAACTGGGCGCCATGGCTCATCTATCCACGCACAGATCATTAAAGCCGGGTTTCAGGATGACACAGTGCTTGCCAATGCCTTAATCCATGCCTATGCAAGGTGTGGCTCTATAAGCCATTCAGAGAAAGTTTTCAATTCCATCATGGATCGTGACACGGTGTCATGGAACTCAATGTTCAAGGCTTATGCCCTGCATGGACAAGCCAGTGAAGCATTAGATCTCTTTGCAAAAATGAACGTCCAACCGGATGCAACCACTTTTGTTGCCCTCCTATCAGCCTGTAGCCATGCTGGACTTGTAGACCAGGGAACTAAAATTTTTAAAACAATGTCTGAATGTTATGGAATAGCCCCTCAATGTGATCATTACGCCTGTATGGTTGACATTCTTGGGAGAGCTGGCCGCCTTATTGAGGCTGAAGATTTAATTAACAGAATGCCTATGGAGCCTGATTCTGTGGTGTGGAGTGCACTGCTTGGTGCATGTAGGAAACACAATGAACCAAAGTTGGCTGAGCTGGCAGCAGCGAAGTTGATGAATTTGGAACCTAAAAATTCATTAGGTTATGTATTGATGTCAAACATATATTCTTCAGAGGGTAGTTTTGATGATGCAGCACTTATTAGGAAACAAATGAGAGGATTTAGGGTGAGGAAAAATCCTGGCTTGAGCTGGATAGAGATTGGTAATCAAGTGCATGAATTTGCAGCTGGAGGTCAATTCCACCCACAAAGAGATGCCATATATGCTGAGCTTGAAGTACTGATTGGCCAGTTAAAGGAGATTGGTTATGTGCCTGAGATAAACCTAGCATTGCATGATACAGAAGAGGAGCACAAAGAGGAGCAGTTGTATTATCACAGTGAGAAGCTAGCTTTGGCATTTGCATTGATGAATGCAGGTAATCCTTGTTTTGGTGGGGGAATTATAAGGATTATGAAGAATATACGGATTTGTGTTGATTGCCATAACTTTATGAAATTGGCATCAAAATATGTTCAAAAAGAGATACTGGTGAGAGATGCAAACCGTTTCCACCATTTTAGAGATGGTTTGTGTTCTTGTATCGACTATTGGTGACCAATTGATATCAACAAAAAGACTCATAAAAAAACAATTGATATCAAGAGAAAATAGCAGGAACCAAGAGTACATTGGCCTAGTTCTTCACGGCATATCTAGAGGTTTTGCCAGATTTGTCAGGTTCACTAGAGGAGGTTATGTTTGTAAGGATATAACTTTCAAGTTTTATGAGACTCATGTTCCATGGCAGAAGTGAGGTGGAACAGACTACCAAGTGGTTGAAGATTTCATGATATGTTGTCTAGACATTCAACATGCAATACAATCTCCTTCAACAAGGTTGGATCACCGTGGGCTGTTATGATGATTCTGAGTGAAAATTTGAGGCATGTAATTGTGGTTAGTTCCTCCAGTCTTCAAATGGACTATTCTGTTGGGCACCAATACCCAATGTTCTGTTGCACTTAACACCATTACCCTGGTCAGTCTGTAATACCATAATGGTGCAAGCAACCTTATGTGGACAAAGGATAAGGAGCATTTAGAGCAGATCTCTATTTGTGGTTGGGATTTATTTGTGTTATAAACCATTTATGCATGCTCCTTTTCATAGTTGTCAAGGCAACAAGGCGCCCTTGGAGGCTCGCCTCATCCAATCGCCAAGCAGTTTTGTGTACTGTGTTATAAAATACTTTTATGCTTTTAATTTTTTGACATTATAATTATAAAATAGATATTATTAAACTAGAATATTCATTTTATGTGTTTATATTCTAATTTCTTTTTATTATTTTCTTATTTGATAGGGTTTAGTCAACACAAACATTGCTAACTGCTGTATTGAACCCATGGTTCAAAGTATCGATACACCTTCGTGTATTGGCAGAAGTGTATTAGTACTTATAATGATACTCCCCCTATTTTTTAATTTTTTGGTTTTCAATTTCATTTTTAAATATAATTATATATATATATATTATTTAAAAAAATGGGTTCCCAAAAACACCTATAAACAAGTATATTGGGACCCCAAAGATACAATACAATACGCCTGATATGGAGTATATCATATCGAAATTTTGATCCTTGATTGAACCCTCAAAAGATTTCAAAACCTGGACTAAGCAAGGGAATAACTTAAAATTTGGTCTAATCAACACATTTTCTTCTTTCACCTTTTCTTTTCTTTTTTTCCTATAACAAAAGTAGGGGTTCAGCCCATATATTTTTTGAATTTTCTTTCCTGTCTTCTTTTTCTTCTCATAAAATGTTGATTTTTCTAGACTTAAACATGAAAGTTATATTTCTCTTATGAAACCATGGATAATTATTAAGGAAAAATGGTTATGGAACCTAAGGAACTACCCTAGGATATATGACTTTACTTAAAAAAAATCCATCGCTTAGGTGACTAGGCGACAAGGCACCCCCCTATTGCCTAGCCTCACCTTAGGGTATATCATGTGTTTTGAGAAAGTAATATGGAAGGGCCCACCTTGGGAACATAGCTACAGGGGGATGAGGGTACAAAGTGTATGCTTTTTCTCCCACATCCACTTCTATTTCATGAAAGGTGGGTGACAGTTGATCATATGCATCTTCACGGCCTTGAGGAGTTGTCAATGTTTTATGTCCACCAAGACCAAGAAACCAATATCATGTATGACTTTGAAACTGTAACGCAAGGCTGGTCTTTTCATGGCACTGAGCAGTCTTAAAGGCTTAAAGCGAATTATAAAAGGGAAAAATTAGGGGCGTGGTCTATTGAGCAATGCTTGCAGAAGTATGGAGTGAGATTGCGGGCTATACAGGAAAATGCAGTTAAACAAAAATGCCAACTGAAGCACAATGGAGCTAGTGAATTTGGACCCACGATGTTGGTTATTATTTAAAAGTTAGCTTCGGTGCAAATGGATTCTACTAGGAAGGCAATGGAAGAGTTTAGGCAGAGGAGTCACTGGCCAAACGCTGGTTGAAAGTGGTGCCTGTGCTGGAAACATGTTTGGAATTTGCATGTTACAGCATGATGAGCATGTCAATGAAAAGCAGGGTGTCTCCTCACTTGCAATGATAAATGACAAGTGATCATTGTTTTTCAATTGTGTTTTCTCTTTTTTCATTTCTCATTTAGTAGTTAGTTGATATTCAGATGGTCTGCATCTGAGTAGCTTCCATTAAAACATCCTAACCCAGTGCAGCAGCATTATCTAGTTGCAGTTTACTGATCTGTTTAAATTCTGGTTTAATGAATCCAAAACCATTTTATAATTTTATGGTCAATCCAATTATTTCAGATAAGAGATTATTTCCTTTTCTACAGATTCCAAGGGCCTCATGGAAACTAATAAAAGATGATTTTTCACTTTTACAAGCAAAAAGGTTAAAGACAAAAATTTTTGAAGGCTATGTACTGAACATTGAGAATAGTTTTCAACTAGCACTTAATGTTGTGAGAAGGGCTAATTTCATGACTTTGGGAGTATCCTTCTATTTTTTATCCTATGTGCCATATCACTGTATAGTTCTTTTTTTCTTTCTTAAACTAGAGAAGGGCACAATGGTCCTTTCTCACCTATTGTATTTCATTAGTATATAACATATTTTGTTTAGGCGTGTGAGACATTAGACAGACCCGTCATCTCTACTCTCTTTTCTCCTTATGAACCCAGTTATCATGACATCAGAGCAGGTCACTTGCAAAGGTTTTTGATTAAAGTTTAAAAGGATTATGATGTAGGGTGGCCCAACCTAGCCCATTCTAGGCCCAGCCCACGAACGTCAGAACCAGGGATGCGACTAGCCATAGCAGGGGCTACCCTGCACCCCTCGTACGGAGTCAATCGCGGAGTGCCCACGTGTCCCCGTAGAGCTCGCTGACTACCCTCGTACTACTCCCATCTCTAGGTGGCTCAAGTATAAATAGGGGATACCCCCCTCTAGGTGAGGGATCCTGATCCTAAAATTTGATCCTACTACAGAACTTAAGCATCCTCACTTTGGGAATTCAGTATCTATGAGTAGCCTCCTTGGAGCCATCGTCTGTACTGAATTCCCCTCTTTGTACCTTCATACTGACTTGACCATCGGAGCCTCTACCTCGGGTTCTTATTCGAGGCCTCTAACATCCTCTTCCTTGCAGCACCTTAGCTATTAGCCATCGGCTTCTACGGAACTCGGTACACCATTAGCCTCGGCCTCTAGTCTCTGACCTCAGCACCTCGTCCCCGAATCCTTCCAAGCCCTCGTCCCACCTTCAGAGCTCAGGGGCGAAATTACTTTGTTGTCCTCGGCCAATCCGAGTATCAACAACTGGCGCCGTCTGTGGGAAGCATTGCTAGACGATCCCCTAAAAAACTGTAACAAACTAAAAAATCCCTAAGCTTTAATCACCATGGTGTGAAGAGCCAGGAACACCTAGAACCTTGTCACTAGTGAATAATTCCAAGCCGTGCTCGACCACCTAGAGTATTTAACCCAACGATTTGAGCAGAGCTACCCCCTAGCAGGAGGTCCTCCCGAGGAGGACCGCTCCATCGGGGAGTCAGCACAACTAGGACAACATGGGTCCACCAGCCAGCCAGCCCTTGGCCCTGGTCATGCACCATAGGTTGACCCCTCCGAGTCCGATAGTAGCCGCCCAGCCAACTTGCCCAGGGACTCCCGCCCTCCCAACCGAAGGGAGGACGAACCAACACGATCTGAGGATAGCCGCCAGCCCTCTAAGCAACATCATTGGCGTTAAACGGCAAACTCGAGGGACGAAGGCAAGCGTCACAGTAGCCCCATTGCCCATTCTAGGGTCGAGGGCCGACGTCGAGCCTCTTCCCCTCACATCTTGGATCTCCGGGATGTCCCGAATGACCGCCGCGCCAAGCGCGAAGCACGCTGTCTTGCCTCATAACACTTCGAAGTCCATGCCGACCCCCACCCGTCCGCGAAGACTGGGAGGCCGTACAGGCCATGCCCGACTCTCAGTTAGCCAAACTACGAGTAGAGCTCGGTGCCGTCAAAGCCGAGCTCCAACAAGTCAAGGAAGGTTGAACTGACACCTCGGCCAGACAAAGTAACTCTATGGGGAGAATGGATGCCTTCTCCCCCGACATCATCACCGAGCCATTACCCCCAAACTTCAAAGCTCCCACCTTGGAGATGTACAACGGGAACACAGACCCGGACGATCACCTGGAGAGCTTCAGGGCACTCATGATCCTATATTGATACTCCGACACCTTGACATACCGAACTTTCCTAGAAACCTTCAAGGTAGCCACTCGACGATGGTTCTCAAGCCTCCCACCTCGGTTCATTAACTCATGGGAGCAGTTCTCCAGCCTGTTCCTCGCTCGCTTCATTAGCAATCGATGACCCCATAATAGTGTTGTCTTGCTAATGACAGTCAAGCAGAAGCGAGGAGAAAGTTTATAGTCATACATTGACCACTTCAAGAAGGAAGAGCTCGAGGTTCGCGACCTCGACCCCATGGTCTCCATGCATGCCGCCATCAACGGACTCCTCCCTAGCTCAGCCTTCAAATGCTCAATCACCAAAAGCCAGCCGAAGACAAAACTAGAGTTCCTTGAGAGGGCCCAAAAGTGCATTGCAGTTGAAGAGGCTTCGGCTGGTGATGCTCAAGAAAGGGGCACCGAGCACTGGGACGGAGCCCCATGAAAGAAGAGAAAGAATGGGGACCATGGTCGCAACAACGACAACGACAACGACAACAACAGCAAGAAGCCACCGGCCTCAGCCCTGGCTTACGACCAGTACACGCCACTCAACTCTACCCGCATGCAAATCCTAATGCAGATCGAGGAGGAGAAACTCATGAAGTGGCCCGAGAAGTTGAAGAAGAATCCCTGAAGGGAGAACTCAAAAAAGTACTGGAAATTCCATCGAGGCACTGGCCACGACACTGAGGACAGATATGATCTCAAGAATGAAATAAAGTCCCTCATACATCGAAGCCACCTCAAGCAATACGTTGGAGGCGAGGCTGGCGCCTCGTCTTCCCAGCAATGGCAACATCAGCAAGTAGTCGACGTCATTGACATCATAACCGGAGGCACAGCCTCGGGCGGAGCCTCGGCCTTGGCTCGCAAGGCCTATGCTAGGCAGTTAAACATCCAGGGGCTGGCCTCCAAGAAGCAAAAGTAGGAAGAGTCTTTCTCCTTTATGGATGAGGATTTGAAGGGGGTAGCAGTCCCCCACGACGACGCTTTGGTGGTTTCGGCCATCATAGCAAACTTCGTAGTCAAGAGGATTCTCGTTGATAGCAGCTCCTTGGACAACATCCTTTTCTACGAAGCATTCGAGAAGATGAAGATAGCACTGGAGTGCCTTCAGCCAGTAGATGTCCCACTAGTTGGCTTCTCCGGCAACATTGTTAAACCAGAGGGCAAGATCACCCTACAGGTCACAGTAGGAACAAAGCCCGAGCAGGTGACGAGGATGACAAAGTTCCTAGTCGTAAGGGTTGGCTCACCCTACAACGCAATCATGGGAAGACCAACCGTTCATGCACTATGGGCAGCCATCTCCTCCTATCACCTCACTCTCAAGTTCCCCACCGAGCATGGCGTCGGAGTTGTTCGGGGAGACTAGCACGCCGCCTG